AGAAAGCACAAAATATCATCCATATAGCGCTTGTAAAAAGTGCAACAACGATCGATTGTTCGCCTCAGTATGTTATTCTCCAGCTTTGCCATGAAGATATTTGCACCACATCAGTTGAATTGGATGCGTGACTATTTTACTGACCGACACCAATCCATTTGTCCTAATGGTGTGAGATATTCCACCGTTAATGTAAGCGAAAATGTATTCCAGGGAGTAATTTTATCTTATTTTCCGTTCTCTCATCAATTCCCAAACTTTCCAGTTTTCTGAAATATGTCGATGATGCAGGGGTTATTGTTGATGCATACAACAACAACCCTTCAATCAGTTATAAATTTCATTTCTGAATCGTCTGATGGTTTTAACCTTTCTTTACACCCAAAAAACTGCATTGAAATTCCGTTTTCCATCAATAGTAGGCCGTCAACTCGTTCCGCATCATATTTTCTCAACACCTTGATCAGCAAATTAAACGTTGAAAGGTCACAACAACTCAAATACCTTGAATGTTTCTTGTCTGCTGAATTCAAATCCTATCAAGTCCTATCAAGTACAACACAAATTTGTCAAAGTTAGCTGACGTTTCACATCTCACATCTTCGACATCTGAGGGTGTCGTTGTAGGTAATTTCTAAATTTATTTTCTCATGAGTTTTTTGTCATTGGACTTATTGTTCCCTCTTCATCTTCTCCGATCTATTGTTTAAAGATTTCACATTGATGGCATGCTCTCTGAAAAGCATCTCCGTAGATATGGAGCTGTCCCATATTTGGGGTTGGTCAATTCTATTGTCCGTTTGCGTGCCTCAATCTTGCCTGATGCGTCGCATGCAATACACTCAAAACTTTCTCGCTCCATTTTCTCTTGTCACCCAGAATAGATTTAAAACACACATATACACACTGCAGTTTTAAAACTTCCGTGGTACCATATCAATGCTCTCTCACTGCTNNNNAGATACGTCGCATTGCACGAGTCTGGTGAGGAAAGTGAGCAAGAAATTTGGAGGCCAGGGGGCGAGTTTTAGACAAGTGCTAGTTTGGTTAAATGTTAGCCCTTAAGCATATGCGATTCTTTTCTAATACGACGATTCGCCCGTCGCTTTCTGACGTTCGCGCAGCCTTTCACCCGATTCAAACGACAATAAAAACTGGTGAGGTCGGTGGACGTGTGTTCTGCATGCAGACCAGTTAGTTAAACGTCAATGTAGAACAGTAAGCAGCGAACTGACAGAAGTGGTGTTCTTGTTCTCATTTCCTATCAGGTCCAGATTTCACAAGAGGTTTGTTATGCACAGTCTAACCGGGTGTTCCCTCAACGAGTTCCACTTTATCTTACCCAATGGTATAAAACCGCAGTATACAGGTTGAGTGTAGCTACAATCAAGGCAGAGTTGGCGTAACTGCGTTTCAATGTGCAACGATGATGACTAAGATAAGGTTGGAGCGGCAACTGAATTCGAGGTAAATAAGTATGATTAATAAACAGTGTAACCATTTCACACTGAGCCCAATTCACTTGGAGCGTGTAACGCTGATGCTTCTCAGAAGTGAAACATTATTTGAACTCGGTCTCGAACTAAATGGACGGAGTTCGTAAAAACAACAACGGTTAGGAATGATATATTTCGCCGTGTACCCTTGCAAGGGAATAACAGATTGTACAAGCACCACGAGTTCCACACATTATGCAAATCAAAAATCCAAAAAGCGATACGTAATTAACAAAATAAAATAAAAACTGGTCTGTACGGGAAATTTCCTGTATATTCTTTGTCCACGATTCGTGCAATTGTATGAGTTTTATTGTGACAAAATGTAATAGGGGAAAACCTGACGCAATCTTACGACAGCATCTGTTCTTTTTCAATGAACACGTGACTAATGGATGGNAAAGCCTGACACCACTTATTTCGTGCACCGATCAGCATTTCCGTTACCGTCAATCGCCTGATGAACTGCACCCGGAAACAAGTTGGAACTGGTTTGTATTGTCATGCAATGTAAATCTCATTTGCAGCTTCGGGGGAGTTGATTCCAGACGAATAAATCTCGAAGAATAATTGTGATAATTCTGTATCAGGTGTTGTGGGTTAGATGCGTCTAACCTCAGCCAACTCGACGATAGATCAAATCTTCCGTGTTTTTATAGAGAGTAGTATACGAATGACCGGACAAATGTTCACAGAAATACGTGATTGGTTTTACCAACTCTTTACTGCTCGTCAGGTATGCGTATCCAGTAACCTTCTGTTTGGGCAAAGATTGAAGTCGCTGGGGTTATATTCCAATCACCAGCGGAAGTATAATTATGGTATACCAAATAATGTAAAACCCAAGCCATTCGTGTCGCCCGCTGCTGAAATTATCACCCAACGGTCATCTTAGAGGAAATTCATTCAAACCAGTGTTCTCATAATGCCGATTGGAACTCCGGCGTCAGTCATTTGCAGTCAGAGTGTATTCTATTTGGAACTCTCTCCCACCCTACGTTGCCTGTACACCAAGTATTGAATCTTTCAAACTGAGACTCGATGAAACATTAGCACACCTTACATTCCGGCATAAGCGAAGCTGCGTGCAGCTGCGGAAGAAGCACGTATCATGTGACATTTTACCCAAGAAATTGTACGTAATAATATCTTTTAACCAAAACACGAACCTATGGGACGAGAAAAGCATAATCCTGTAAGTTATTCCCATAATAAATCTTTGATCTGTGATCTTTGGTAATTCTTATACATGAACTCTTGGTGTGAATTATGCAATGCTAAAACCTTCTGCAGCTTGGGGAGCGAAGTTGAGACAAACAAGTCTGAAAGAATCAATAAGATGATTTTGTGTGTATTGTCTTCCGGGATAGAACTGTAAATGTCACGAGAGTAGTTGAATAGAGATGCATAATCATACAACAACGACTGTCTCGTAGCCATTGACACCCTCTCTAGTCTTCGCGATTACGATTTCGTGTTTGGTCTCATTGATTCACATTGTTCATTCACCCTCGGCGCGCCCGAGTCACGCAAGTCCATTGCCAATTCAACGTAACTATTCAAAGTTAATTAGTCTGTGTACTTCACGGTTGTTGGAGGGCATTAAATTCGATCTGTTACACTCCAGCATAGTGATAAAAGATGTTTGATATGAATGCATTGGAGTTGGATCATTCAAAATCATATGGTGGAAATCAATCAATATGGAATTTTTTTAATCTGAGTTGAGTTATAACACATTGTATGCAAAGCTAGTCTATCCTACGTGTGGCAGCAGCTAAAAATTTTCCCAACGTTACGTCGTCGTTACAGTTACCGTAACCCAGGAAAGTTTTCACTTGGCATGTGCTACAAATGTGTAATTCAAATGATGGCCTACTCAGTTCAATTCAGTTCAGTTTGTACAACCATTAACCATGCATTATAGTGCGCCGGTTTTGGTTGCTGTCTTTTGGTGTCCCATTTGGATGAAGAAGAGTAGAAAGACAGGAAAAGTTGAAAGTAGGATCAAAGAGAAAATTTAGAATTTCGTTGCACCAATGTTGCGGAGAAATTGACAAGATGCACGAACTCCACTGTTTACGACACAGCCATATCACTCACTGTCTCTCTCTAACCATTGGTTTCGATTATCCCGATCATCCGTTCAGGGAGCCTAACCGGACCTATGCAACAAAGTATCCTGGCTAGGGTTATCACACCNNTTGACTTTTTCCAACCGCTGCCTGCCTCGGTGAACATCACTCGCGGGGGTAACCTATCTGGTGACATGCGTAACACATGCCACAACTAACATAGTTTATGGAGGTCGATCATTTGCTCCAGAGGGGCGACCGCATTTACCTAAAACTCTACGCCTAACCTCAGCATTGTTCGTCCGGCTGCCCCACCAGATTCATGCAATGCTGCGTAGACAGCGGTGTTCAAACACTAGCAGCCTATCT